GATGTGTAGATATATTTTTAATTTATAAATAGCTTTCAAAAAATTCCAAATATAAAATTTTAAATTAAATTATTTGACAATAAACTGACAAATAATACTTGAATAGAATACAATATATTCAAACAAAATATGAATATTTGTTGCCATAGCAAAATAATGCTAAAATTTTCTTTTTTACAATTAAATAGTCAATTTTACTTTAATTAAATAAAATCTGTTTTTAAATGTTCAGGATAAAAGATATGAATGATCAGTGGCAAATAATTATTGCTACGCGAATGAAAAAATTAGATATAAATAAAATCAATTAAATATTATAGAATCTCTAGATTATAAGAATTAGATATATTTAGATTTCCGTCACTTCTTTTAAAATAAAAATTTTACCAATAAAATTAATGTAAATTTTATTTAAATCGAATTAAGTATAAATTACTATTAAACTAAATTTTTTGCAATGTTTTATTAATAAATATTGAGAGTATAAGTCAATACCATCGTCATAATTTTATTTTTAAATACAATATGGTCATATTAAAACAGTTATATGTTTAATTATTTTATCATCAAATAGAAAAACGAAAAAATTACATCTGTTTTATATCTGGATTGCCAATGTCATTTATAAATTTCCATGTATAGTTCGTCCATGGACACGAACAGTATCCACTCGTTTAAACCACTTGTTACGAACTTTACATAAATTTTGCTTTCCTCTGCTTATTTGCAGGAAATCTAAACAATCGAACGTCTGTAGATTTATTTTTACAATTTGCGCCACATAATAGCCCATTGCTTAAAGGTTTGAGTACTTATATACGTAATAATAGTCGATTCATGCAGGAACTACGTGTTAAGTGTAGTCTATCGATAAGTCCCAAAATGGCCGCTGCCGCATAGAATCACGGGAGCGTGTCCTGACCTTCTTATATAGACCTTGGTTTATTATACGCTATCCTCAGGCTTACGATTATCGTTCCAAAATAGAACATAACGTTTTTCGAATAAGTTTCATTTTTAAAGATTTAGAATAATTGTGTATATGAAAAAATAAATAAATAACAGTCAAAATAAAATAAAATAAAACGGCGTAAATAAATAAACACCGTACACAAGGCTAAGTATAACTATTAAAAGTTTTAAGGGTTTTTAATTCCCATGCTTTTTTCTATCATGTTCTACTTCCATGCTGTTGGAAGCGCATTAGCATCCTTGGCATTTAGGCAACGGTTTTTTATTTTACTTTTATATATTTCCAACTTTTCCATTTCTAATACAATGGTTGGGAATTGGACTGTTTTAATGATTTTTGCCTCATCCCATTTTAAATTGTTGATTTTTAAGTAGTATTTTACACACTACAGCTTTCTCTTGCATTTTTACTCTATGTTTATCATTCCTTAGTAAGCTGTAAATGTTGGATGCTCTTTTATATACCATTTTTGCATTTTTATAAGTACTCAATTCATTCATCACTCCTCCTATAATGCTTATTGTATGTAAATTTGTTAATTGCATCTACTTTAGTATTTTTTTTTTGCCTTTATGCCATCTGTAACTTTTGACCAGGCCATCAATTGTGGCGATTTTGTAGCGTAAATTTGTTGCAATTCTTTTAATTCTACCAATCTCCGTAAGACGGTCTTGAACGTTGGTGCAATATAAGAACGCTCTTTTAATGAGTGCCTTAAATGCTGATAACTTGTACTTATATGCGTGAGTTTTAAATACACCGCTGTTTGTACGTTTCATTGTTTAAATTTTATATCAAAGTCCAAAAAACGGAGATGAGTATCGTTTTTCTGTTCTAGTTTTGGGGATTTCATTTTCCAGTTTACGTATTACTAGTTCGCAAAGGAGTCCTGACATGGGACTTCCCATTGGGACACCTTTCTTTTGTTTGTATGTCACTCTGCTGAATCCAAAAAAAGGTTTAGTAACACATCAAGTCTGTTAGATTATTTAAGTCCTCCGAGTATGTCGATAACATTGGATTGTGTTGGACCATAAATTCGATGAGTGCATTGAAACACGATGTTAGATTCACGGATGGGTATAGACTTTCAAAATCCATCACTGTCCCTATTTCATCGTTCATTAAAGCTGTGTCTTGTAATTCTTTTATCACCTTATTTGGATCATTAGCCACATAACTATTTTCCTCGAGCTCTTCATAAATGTACTTTTTTAAGCGCTTCTCCTGTATATATGTTGATGCGTTACATTTTTCCACCACCGGTCTGAATTATTTATTATTTATGTTTTATTTTATTTTATTTTTACTGTTATTTATTTATTGTATTTATTTATTTTTTCATATTCACAATTATTCTAAATCTTTAAATTTAAAAATGAAACTTATTCGAAAAACGTTACGTTCTATTTTGGAACGATAATCGTAAGCCTGAGGATAGTCTATAATAAATAGGTTGAAAACGTTTGAAATAAAAGAATTTTACGCTCGGCAAAAATTCAGGTGTGTTGTTTTAATTAATTGCAATTGCAGAGAGAAAGGTGGATAATCATAAGTGAAATCATTATTTCTTTTTTCTTTTTTCCACGAACTTTTTGAAGCCCCCTCGTAATAACCGAATTTCAATAAATATTATTTTTAAAAAAATGTAATAATTTAATGAAAATCACACTGTTACATAAACCTAACAAAGTTAATACAATTATTTTTGTAACATAATGGATAACGTGCAATAACATTTAAGAAAAATGGTACACTGGTATCTCGAACGACTAATTCTTTTAGATTATAACTGGTAATACTACTATTGTTACTGGTGATACCAACTGGTGGTGATTGTTACACGGTGAAGGTAAGTTTGATGCATTTTTAAAACTTATTGAACATGATATTTTATTTTACCATAACTTATTCTATGAGTTTATCAAATATGGTTTTGTTACAAATCCTGGATTTATAAGAATCTTGAGTGATTTGTCGAAACTGCAATAATGTTGAGAACGTGCTCCAAATAGAATTCAACAACTATAAAAAAAGTGTGAAAATTAAAATTGAATTCAACTTAAACAATAAATATTTTCATTAAAATTATACTTTAACTTGAGATAAATAATATGCTAAAATACTTTTGTTGGGTGCTTTACAGTAAATGGATTGCTGCAACCTTACTAAGTTTTAATATTAAAAAATGTACAAAATTTATTTAAAAAATTAATAATAATTATTCATAACCTTTTCTAGAGTAAAAACAAATTTTCGAAGATAAAAATTGTCGATATTAAATATCTTAATTGTATCAGCAATTAAAGCTTAAGCCTACAGCTCTAGGTGATCCACGATCGAATCCGGGTGAGAAATCCCAAGATATTTTTATCCTGGATATGTTGGGCCTCTTCCCCCCACCCTCTGGTGGCCTCATTGTGTGTGTACTGTACATGGCCGAACCAACAAGTGGCGTAAAAAGGTCCGTTTAGTGACCAACGATATGAAATGTTAAATTAATTAATAATGGAAAAGAATATAGCATATATTTTAAAGAGCACGTTCTTATAAAAATCTTAAATTATTGATTTAATTGTGAATGATTTATAAATATTGATATATCAAAGAGTTGCAATTGTTTTTATTTATAAATGAGAATTTACAGTAAAATTTCTTTAAAACAGAACAGAAAGGCCAGCGGCATCCGCCGACTTTAAAAGTGGAAAGCACAAAGGCATGGTAGATTATGCAAGAAGTTTCAAACTCTATGCTCACAAGATGAAGCTGTTTGCACTCCGGACTATCTTTACCTTGAAAACAAGAAATGTGATTTTGGTCAACTTACAACGAATAAATAACTATATAAAAATAGTTACATGAAACAATGGACAAATATCGTTCATTAGTTTCTTTTATATTTGCAGAATAGGCTAAAAGTCATAACTTTTCTGTTGTTCTTTGACGAAAAATTTGATGCCCACTAAAGCATTAGAAAATAGGCGATCCAGACGAATAGAAGGCACGTACCAAAAGTGCTCCATGTACGGGAGCTCCTGGCAACGGCGCTGACCAGAATTTTCTTATTTAGCAGTTTTTATTTAATATAAGCTTACGGTTTTATTAACGAACAAACGTAAGTTAAGGGATATAGGAGTTAAAGGAGTGAGATATCCTATATTGTCACAATTATTTTCCAGACAACAAAAGCACAATCTTAAACAAATAAATTATGTAGTCTTATATCTGAGAAATGACCGTCATCCATGTTGGAAAATAACACCATTAATTAAACATGATATAGAATTTAGTTGCTGTTACACCAAAAAATATAATCTGCTTTACTTGAGATATGTTACGTAATCGGTACCCAAAATATTGGGAATTTCTTTAACGAGAAAACGCATTAGACATGTTTTTTGATTATAATACAATTTCATAAAGCAAACTCTTCTGTTTAGGCATGTTTCAATTTTTTACGGAATCCGTTTTCATGTAATAAAAATATCGTACAATTTCGATAATATTTCTAGTAAATTCTGAAAAATACCTACTTCAATTGTGAACTCTTTTCTCACCACAATCGCTCCAAAATAACGGAATCCAATGTATTCTCCATTAATTCTTTTCATGAACGAAATAACCTGAAACAATATTTAAATACACGTCAATTTCATGAATCTACTATGAAGTAGAAAGAATAATGTACCCCTGAGCATGCTTACTTTTAATACATTTACCACATCCAAATTATATTTACCTAAACTGAATATGTACAATTCGTCAATTGGTTTCATTGACTGAAATAGAAACACGTTGAATTTTTTAATAAATTGTAATGAAATCAAATGTCTGATTATTGTTTTATATATGAAGAAAATGAAATAATTTAATATAAATATCGTTAGTATTATCTGTATGTATCTCTTTATCTCGATTTTAGTCATGCCACAAATTCAGACAATCATAGAGTATACGGGATATCATAAACTCACTTTGTAACACGGTGGACTGACCATGTTACAAAGATAACAACAAGATGAACAATGCGACTCGTTATCTCATATTCGCTAAAACAAAAGTCGGTAAATCATCAGTTACATCCAATTATAGGACATTGGAATTATAACATGGTTTGCCCTCATCTCCGACAGTTCCGTTGTGAATCTGCCGAATCCACGTTGTACTTGATAAAAAGAAAACAAATTCGCCACGTGTTAAACATATAGAAAGAACAGAAAAACATTTGGCTAGATAAGAAACCTGGCTTTACTGCAAACTTTGAGAAACCCTCTAATAACATGTCTATTATAGTGATGATTATTATTTAATTTTTCTTATATAAAAATTTTATTATTTACATTATTTATGTTGAGACAAAACATTGTGTTGATGTTGATGGCATACCAACATTGTATTAGGTTCTATCTCACCTACAAAAAGTAATTACTGAATGCAATTGCATTCGAGTATAGTATTCGGTAGTGCGCTATTGTTAGTTTCCTTTTGTTTTTTGCTTTACCTTTTTCGTCCTGTGATCATTAAGAGGACCTTATCAAGCCAATCGCGGTTTCGGCCAGGCCAAAAATGTAAAATCAGATTGATGAAATCAGTCAACGCAGCAATCTTCCAAAGAGGGGAGGGAGCCTTCCGAAAGGACATTCTGTAAGAATAGAGAAGACTTCCCAAGAGGCGCTTGGAATAACTTCTGAATTAAGTGTTAGACAAGTAAACACAAAAACAACGTGTCACTAGTAGTCAAGCGAAGCACATTACCAGAGAACCCTTCAATAATTAGCGACAGTTCACGACAGGGTTTTCACCAACATGAAAAGCATCTCATAAAATATCTGTGAATTGTGTACTTTACTAAGCCACAGATGGGTTTCTATAATAATACTTAAGAGATTCATACACAACCCCACAACTTTCTTTTAATAAAAATGAATTTTAATTAAATATATTTAGAAATATCAAAATAATTTAATGCTATACTTACATATTTAGTAATTTCTCCTATTGAAAAAACTTCAAAAATTAAACCTGCCTCAAGAACTAATCCAAATAAGAAAAACTTTACTTTTTCAAAACTTTGTTCGAAATAGATGACATAATACATGCAACATGAAAAACAATGCATAAGGCACAAAATAATGGCCGTAAACATCTTTCCCAATACTTTATCAAATTCATGAATAGTACTACATAATTCTGCAAATTTCTCTTGTTCCGAAGATATTATTTTCACAGATTTTTCGGTATCTTTGCAACTTTTTAAACATTCGTGAATGTGCTTAAATCTCTTCAATAAGAAATGCTGAAATAAAACTAGAGTTGAAAAACCACTTAGCCCAAATGCAATAACCCACAAGTAAATTAGCGGATAAACAATGTTGCATATTATGTAATTAATTTGATTTTCTGGCATCGGTAGGATGAAAATTGATATCGTTATCAAAGCAGTTACTACGATACTCACAATGCCAATGGACATAATTGTCCTTTTATATAACTTATTTCTGAATTCTGTTAGAGTAACGTTTTCTTCTTCATAATATTTACGATCGGATCGACTCGACAGCTTTTCGCTAAAGAACGCAATGGTTAGACAAATTGCTAAAAGCATTAACAATCCTATCAATAATGCTTTAGAAACGATAACGGTGGTTTCAGTATCTCTTAAATGATAAATGAAACCGGCGCAGAATTTGATACAAATAGTTATATCGGCAGTTGAAAGAAGAATTGCCCCAATAACGAAGACCCACCAAATTATCATGATAACAGCGCTATATACGCGAAAGAATTTACTTTGTGCTTTATCGATTTCACATTGTTGTATAATGTCAAATCCAAGTATTTTCAGTATAAAAGCGAATGGTCTAGCGTAACAATTCAAACAAACTCCAGATTCTTCCATAATATTTCAATTCTCTGTAAATAAATGTATAATATATTTTAATAAAAATAGATGTTTGACAATCTCTGTATAATTTGATATATTCTGTCAATAAAAAGAAATTTTTTAATAATGTGTAATTTACTTTCTGCTTCCTAAACTAAATTTTATTTGATTCGAGACGAAAAACCTGTCTATTCACGATTTATTAAATAATTCTTATATCATTCCACTCAGAAAGTAAAATTTTATTTACGACTATAATTAAATAAGTTTGTTATTTATATCATCACCTGCATTTCTAATAAACAAATTTCCTTCGTTTCTTTTTGAAAAGCAAAAAAAGGGGTTACACAAAGAAGTTTTTCAAATTTTGTAAAATGCTGTGAAAAAAATCACAAAATTAGAAAAATATTCCAGCAACGAGTTGCTTAACTTTTCCGGCGACATTTGGTGCCAATTTGTTATCATATTTTATTTAAAAACTTTTTTTATACTTTTAACTATTATAAAATAACAAAAAGCTTAATTTTGGGGGTAGGAATGAACTTTATAAAAAATTGTAAACCCTAATAACGAGTAAAATCGTCATTAAGTTCGAATCTACTCGAGACACGACACACGATTTTTGTTATCTTTTTACTCTCTCTACCTTTAATTATCAAAATTTCATACCATCAATTGCTCTAATAAAGAAACCTCCTTGCAAAATGTCAGAAATTTTTCGACATCAAGCACAGGAATTATTAAGTTTCAAATAGAGTGAACAAAATAGCGCTCTTCCACACACACTGACATCCATACATACAGAAATTATTCCCTAATTCTTTTGCATTTCTCGACGTTTCCAGGTTCCGGGTCCAGAAATGTAAAAAAAAAACTTGCATGACAATACATTCCCTCTGTTATGTATAAATATAACAGCCGAAAAGGTAAAAGTTCGAATAAATTTAAAACAGTTTCTTTTTATTAACAGAAACACTTAAGCAACTTCTAACTTGATTTTTTAAATCAAATCTCACAATAGCCGGAAAAGATAGCAACTTATTGCTACATTTTTCTAATTCTACTTGAGTTTTATTTTAAAAATTTACATCCTATTGCTTCCATTACATCTTATATAACTTTTATTAAGCATTATGCTTCATTAATATAAAACAATCATTACTAAATTTCGTACAGATTAAATTATTTTTCAAAAGTGCTTTAATTACTTAAATTTTCTAGTTTAATTAATTCACAATGTTCTTGTTTATTCACGTATTTAGTATGAAAAGTAGAGTCAATTTAGATGGGATTTATGATATAAAAAATCAAAAAATTTACGGCATGTTTTCTAGTAAAGCAATTTTAATGCGGGTGGATAAGCAAAATTAATGAATGACATTTTCATTTTTTTTTGAAACGAACTACGTCATTGGCTTTCTTATCCAGCAGTATTAATGGCGCTTTACCTGATAACGAGTCCTTTGCATTTTATAAATAATATAATAACACAAAATGAAAGGATGGTGAATTAGACAAAGCGTCGTAATGATAAACTATTCATACATTGTAGGAATAAATTTCAAAATTTCAATCACTAACCTTTAGAAAGTTGATTCTTCTTTTACAGGTTAAATCTTCAGGCATAAATCTTGTGTATTTGATCGTATAAAAATAAATATAGAATCAAAACTTCTAATTTTTAATTGCTTTTTAAAGACTTTACTAGAGATTTTGACATAACTCCTGTAGTACAGTACTGTACATCTGGCTTGTTGCTAGCATGCACTGTACTGTGATGTGTGATAAGAAGCTATTATTAATCAAATTAAAATCTTAACAGTTCCAAATCTAATTTACTTTATTGGCTTTTAAGAGAACCATTCGCTATAAGTAATGGAGTGAGTGTTTGCTTTACTTTAGTAATATTTATTATCTATTATTCATTATCGAAATTGATGGAAAATTCTAAATTTATGACAGTATCTAAAATGCTGTTGGTATAAATCTAAATATTTATGTATGACATAAAGAATATGATCGATTAAATTAACTAATGTAATCAAGTGATATGCTGATTTTGAAAAATAATTTAATCTATACGAAATTTAGTAATGCTTGTTTTATATTAATGAACCATTAAGCTTATTGATAATGCCTAATTAAAGTTTCAGAAGATGTAATGGAAACGATACACTGTTTACATAACTATCCATTATTTTAATGGAAATTTAATAGCATTAAATATAAATACAGCAGCAGCTATCCCACTATCTTCCCACCCTCTCGACCTTTTACCACCAAAATTTAATAGCATCAATCTCTTAATACACAAACTTCCCTGCAAAATGTCAGAAATTTTGGGAAAAAGCACAGTCGTTAGCTTTAAAAAGTGGCAACAAAATCGTGCCACAAACACAATAACATTCATACATACAGAAATTACCCCAGAATTTTTTTTCATTTCTCGACGTTTCCAGGGTTCGAGTCCAAAAATGTAAAACTCTTGCAAAGCCATACTTTTCTCGCTATCTTATAAATGAAGCTTTTAGCTATTTTATAATAATTTAAAATATAGAAAATTTTTAAACAAAATATAACTAATCACAGCATAAAAAATTTTACTTATCACTATTAAATTAATAATATAAAAGTTATTTTTTTAATAATATCTCATAATAGCGGAGAAAGTTAGGTAACTCTTTGCTAGATTTTTACATATTCGTAATGGTTTCTTGCATGGCGTTCAACCGGAGTACCACGAAATGTAGTGCTCAGCAACGTCATAACACCTTTTACATGTAAAAGTACGCACAATACAATAACTACATCGATAAATGAGTAATAACAGAAAAATTACCAGTCATTTTTTATCTCTTAAATTTCATATTTTAAAAATTTTATAGCCCACCAGTGGCCGAGCGGTTCTGTCGCTAAACACTTGGAGTTCGGTCGTGGGTTCCCGCCGTTCTCGGATGGGCTGGCCAAGTAAAGTTTTCCGGTTTTTCTCCACGTCTGTAACGCCCGAATAGGGGCCAGTTTCCCTTAAAGTCCTACCCGGAAGGCATCATTTCCAGAGCTTGTAAAGGGAAGTGCCACTCTGGTATTAACCTCCCCAAGGCTCACTTTGGTGCACCACTAATCATTAACTAACCTGTTATTTCTGCTATTAAAGTATTTGGCATTGATATTTTTTAATCTTGTAAGTGCTCTATACGAAGTCAAAAGAATTCTATTCTACTTAAAATTTACATCACTGTTTTAGAATATTTCATACGGCTAATTATTGTACTTTTCTTCCTGCAAATATTGAGACAGGATCTATATTTCGTTGATTCAGTATACACATACAATAATCACAGGCAATTGTCTACAGTTGTTTACGGTAAAGTACTCTACATTGCTCTACAATTTAGCATTGTTGAACTTAAAAAAATTGGATTTTCATTTCTAGTACTTATTAATTTTTATAAATAATGTGTTGATTGTATAATTTTCTGAAAGAATTATATTTTCAGCTGCATGATTTCATTTCGTGAATGGTGAAAGTAAAGAATGACATAGTGTTTTTATTAGTGAAATAAGGAAATGTTGAAATTGCCTGTAAATTGTAAACATTCGGTGAAATAAAGTTTTCTTTCGCTTATAATATAATAAATAACTTTCAGTTAATACATAAAAATATAAATACGACTTTTAAACAAAGTTAAAAACTTTGTGTCTGTCCTTCCTTTTCGCCGTTTTTCACCATCAGCAATCCTTTAAAAAAGTTCACAAAATTACGGAGACGACCTTTCCTTTGAGGCTACTACCTCCGAGACCATGTATTATATACAAATTAACTTTCAGTTAATTTGTATATAATACATGGTCTCGAAAACTTCTATGAATGTCTGAAATAACTTTCTAATATAAATTTTACAATGTGTTCCAATAAAAATTTCAACAAAAAGTTTAGATAATCTTATCAATATTTTTATTATTGATTCTTAAACACTATGTAGTGTAATAAATTCAAACACTTGGCGTTCTATCATTTTTATTTAGTTCAGTTGATCATTATTATAATTAACTCCAATGCGAATGCTATAAAATGTTGTAATATTTGTTCCAAATACCTAAAAAAATTAAATTTTTGCAAATGTTATGCCAATTTTAAACAGATTTCAATTTTACATATTGAGATTTATAAGTTCGAGTTTTCGTAAATATTCTTCTCGTGTAATTTTTCCATATTCTTTATAATGTTAGCATGCATACTGTGCATTACAACATAATTTGGAATGCGATCACGCGTGAAACGTTGTGTAAAATTGCATTTATCTGTAATAAATTTGTGATCAATTGAAAACGGATGGAAGAGTGATATCATGCAAGATGGAAACATGGTCCAGGTTGCATGTAAAAATGTGGATTACCTTTCTGATTTGTCTGCTAAAGTTCAAAATGATGCAAATAAGGAAACGAAACTATGTTTGAATGATTTTCACAGGTATATGCTAATCCGTATGTGTGTCATAATATAAATATGTGTTTATAATTTTTTATCCTTTGTTGACCAAAAAATTGGAAAAAAATCGTACCTTATGGAATTCGGCTATATTAACGTCGGAGGTTTAAATTTTATTATATTTTTCCTAAAAAATGAACACTTCCTAACGGTGTTCCATTTTAATGATTTATTAAATAGGCAGAATTATTCAAAGCTATACGTCGGAATAAAATAATCGGAAACAAACATAAATAATTTATATTCCTAATACGCAATTCATTGCTGAAACAGGAACTCGTTTCTAGTTATATAACATACATAAGATATCAGATAGAATCTAATACCCAATTGTAATATTACTTTATACATCGCAGAATTAACAAACGAGTATATTTCCGATTCA